CTCCAAGCTACTAGCGATGGTCGCCAACCTAATAGCCATGACCTCCAACCTACTAGCGATGGCCTCCAACCTACTAGCGTTGGCCGCCAACCTAATAGCGATAGCCGCCAACCTACTAGCGATGGCCTCCAACCTACTAGCCATGGCCTCCTACCCAATCGCAATGCCCTCCAACCTACTAGCGATGGCCTCCACTCTAGCAGCAATTGTCATAGAATCAGGCTCATGACATTCAATGACATAATGTCTAGATTGGACACAAGTAAGTAGAGCATTGCTTTCGCGACTAGTATTTGTGCGCATCCTGCAAACAACAAACCAGTTCATGAATTGTACGTAATTGTACAATACTCATGTGCTGAGTACAATGCCTATCCAACCGTTGATAGCAGCAGAGGCATTGGGAGTATGGACGAAAGGTAGGGATAAAACCGCCTTAGGTTGACGCATGTTGACACTGATATCAAAGGAGAGAAAGGGACGAAATGTGCATGCATTCGTTATTCATCAAAGCAGATGATTGGAATCAAAGCCGAAGAATCAGAAGATGCGTTGGATTCATCCCAGCATTGTCAAGAAGGAATGTGCGGATGTACGCATCGTTTCTTGATCCGTACATTGAGATGAGCCTAAATGGCAGACTGATTTTGCAGGAGGGTGAGAGCAACAGTTTTAAGATGCCAGTGGATTTGGTGATCAAGCATATGTCACCAGGTTGCAGCGTGTCGCATGTTGTTGAAGTGTTTGATGCAATGAAATTAGATGAAGTTCAACAGGCTGCAGAGGTTTGCAGTTTTGAATGTCAGCAGTGGAGCTATTCGGAGTGATGGTTCTTCTTTTGAGTGCAGGGTGCATTCAGTTTTTGTCGGGTGTTCCATTTTAAAAATATACTGTAATTATACAACTGCATAGGTCTGAGAATGAAGAGCCTGGCAAGACATCAATGAATCAAGCTAAGTGGAGACATCCAAACTATTTCCAACTGACCGAATCAACAATTGTTGTTTAGTTAAAACCACCTGCCGATTCTCGCCTCCCTTCCAGTATCATCGATTGGAATCAACAGATTGAATTTGGAAAGAAAATACAGCATGTGTGTGCGTTTGACAACATC